CAATGGAATGGACATCCTTATCGCTGTGGATCACATCAGAATCCTTTTTCCTAATGAGAGAGTGAAGGAAATCTAGTGATTGCTTAATTTCATTTATTTGAGATTCGTTCTTGGATCTAGCTCCTCGTTCTCTATCTTTAATTTCATAAGACTTAACCATAGCTATGTTTTTAATCAAATATTTTGCTTCTGCAGGGGTCATGGAGCTAAAATTTCCATTACTCGCATTGTCTAACGTGATCTGGTAATCCAACTCGAGGCCTCCGTAAAAGAATTTAAGAAGCTCTGGTTCAGAATAACCATGGTGGGTACAATCTCGTTGGTGATTATTAAACCTAGTCCAAGCGTTTCTAAAAGATTCTCGTGGGCCTTGAAAGAATGTGGAGAGTTTATGCCTCACGTCCCAATATCGAGTCTCATTGAAAAATTCGTTAATGAAAGCAGTGCGAATATTTTCCAACAGGTTAAGGATCCTGCTGGTATTTGTTTTAACCAATTTCTGGCTTCCCTTCCCAAGGAAAAAGGAAAAATTTTACAACGATTACTATCATTGAGTGCGAATCCTTCTAGAGAATCTATGTGCTCATGGGGATGGTCTGAGACAGAATCACAGAAGGGGTTCTTTTGTACCAGATGGATGTAGTCAAAATGAAGCGTAGAATTATTTGCTTCATCCTCTGGTAGCTTGTTAGCTGACCTATTGGAATAGGTCTTAATGAGATCTAAGTAGTCTTGCAATTTTTCTGCATCTTCAGTTGAAGATGGATGGTTTTTGACAGGGATTTCAGTCCCATGTTTAACTATAAATTCATTCTTTTCATTTCATAACTGACCTACTGATTCATTTGGGACTACTTCCTCTTTAATTAAATCGGTAAGTAAAGACTTACCTGCTTCCGGCTCGGTTATATCGATCGATGTGGGTTGGACTATGTCGATTAATCCCTCGGTCAACATATCGCTCGATGTGTGCGTCACGTCATCGGTCGAAGCTTGGCCGAAATCTGTCTTCTCCTTTTTGGATTCCCTGTTAATCAGAGAAAGAAGAAAAAGAATTAAGTAAACAATAAAATAAAAATTCTAGACTGTATTCTAAACTAAATCTGGTGGTAATAAGAAAGAGTCTCCGGCAATGGCGCCTAATTTGATATCACTCAAATGTTTAACCCTAAGGAGTGAATTACTCTCTCAAATAAGAGGTTCAATCGTAGTACTTAGGGATCGAATCCACAAGGACTCTAGAATCACACAACAGATTATTAAGTCTTCGAAATAAAGCTAGACAATAAGATTTTAAACAGTAACTTAAAAGATAGCAAGTAAATGCTTGATTGATTGATTGTTTGTTAAGAAGAAAGAAGATAGTTAAACTTAGGTATTTTCTCAGGTATGACATACATGCAAATTGTAAAGGGTTTTTCTTATTCATAGTTCTAGATTCAAACTCTTAAGGAATTTAAGGATTAACTCTACTGGATTTCGGGTTAGGACTATCGTCCGATCCTGAAGGGAATATCGATCGATGTTTCTGTCGAAGCTATTGATCGATGTAAATGCCGCTATATCGGTCGACACGACTATCGTCTTGTCGATCGATAATGCATCCAGCTAGTGGTAAAGGTGTGTTTGAATGGATTATCTAGTTTTCATTAAATTAACTTAGACTTAGGGTATTTGGCAAGATGTCGCTTGTCCAAATTGATCCTAAAATCAGAGGCAAGGGTGATCAATCCTTGACCTTAGCATTCATTGATAACTAGATTGAGAACTATATTTTAAACACCCTAATAATGGTTCAATTCAATGCATGAGTCAACCTTAATGAGAAACCTAAATCTAACAAGAGAGCCTACTCAAAAATATTCATGAGAGACAAAGTCATGATGGTCTGAATAATACTTTAAGATAATAATAAAAAGAATTAATAAGTAAAAAGGGAGTTCAAGATCTTCTCTGGAATTGTAGTTCAGATCTCTCTCTCCATCAAACTCTTCTCAAAGTGTAGCTAGATGCTTCTCCTAATTAGGTCTAAAAGGTCTCCAAAGTTGTCTAGCTAAACTAGTACGAAACCCTCTTAATATAGCCTAACAGGTGGCCAGGGACTTAGTGTGTAAATTGTTAAAACTCTTGTGAAGCAATTAGGGCTTCTAATCTTCATTTAATCGCTTGGATAACTTATGTATCAATCGATGTAAAATGTCATCTATCGATCGATTTGAGTAATCATCTGTCGGTCGATTGCTCTCAATGTGCATCGGTCGATAGCTTAAACATCGTTTTGCTCATTTCTTCATAAAGTCTCCATTTTAGCTCCAAAATGCATGTTTTACACTAGTGAGTACCTGAACCTGTAAAAGATCTAAAAAAATACTACAAGTATCTGATATATCATGGATTTTACCCATTTTCAGCCATGATTTATATATATTTTTGGAAACAAAAGGATACTTTTAGTGTCTTTTTAGAGCTTTTACAGGTTCAGGTACTCACTAGTGTAAAACATGCATTTTGGAGCTAAAATGGATACTTTATGAAGATATGAGCAAAACGATGTATAAGCTATCGACCGATGCACATTAAGAGCCATCGACCGATAGAAGATTACCCGTATCGATCGATAGATGACATTTTACATCGATCGATACATAAAATATCCAAGCGATTAAATGAAGATTAGAAGTCCTAATTGCTTCACAAGAGTTTTAATAATTTACACACTAAGTCCCTGGCCGTCTGTTAGGCTATATTAAGAGGGTTTTGTACTAGTTTAGGTAGACAATCTTGGAGACCTTTTAGACCTAATAAGGAGAAGCATCTAGCTATCTTTTGAGAAGAGTTTTGATGGAGAGAGAGAGATCTGAAACTACAATTACAGAGAAGATGTTGAACTCCCTTTTTACTATTTGTTTCTTTTTATCATTATCTTAAAGTATTATTCAGACCATCATGACTTTGTCTCTCATGAATATGTTTGAGTAGTCTTTCTTGTTAGATTTAGGTTTCTCATTAAGGTTGACTCATGCATTGAATAGAACCATTATTAGAGTGTTTAAAATCTAGTTCTCAATCTAGTTATCAATGAATGCTAAGGCCAAGGATTGATCACCCTTACCTCTGATATTAGGGTCAATTTGAACAAGCGATAGCTTGGCAAATCCCCTAAGTCTTAGTTAATTTAATGAAGACTAGATACCCCATTCAAACATACCTCTACCACTCGCTGGATGCAATATCGATCGACGTGGCGACAGCCGCGTCGACCGATATAGCGGCATTAGAATCGATCGATAGTATCGACAGAAACATCGATCGATGTTCCCTGCAGGTTATTGGACGATAGTCCTAACCCGAGATCCAGTGGAGTTATCCTTAAATTCCTTAAAAGTTTGAATCTAGAACTATGAACAATAAAAACCCTTTACAACTTGCATGTATGTCATACCTCAGAAAATACCTAAGTTTAACTACCTTCTTTCTTCTTAACAAATCAACCAATCAATCAAGCATTTATTTGCTACCTTTTAAGTTACTGTTTATAATCTTATTGTCTAGCTTTATTTCGAAGACTTAATAATCTGTTGTGTAATTCTAGAGTCTCTGTGGATTCGATCCCTAAGTACTACGACTGAACCTCTTATTTGAGAGAGTAATTCACTCCTTAGGGTTAAACATTTGAGTGATATCAGTATCCTTTTGTTTCCAAAAACATATATAATTCATGGCTGAAAACGGGTAAAATCCATGATATATCATATACTTAATTAAGTTTATGACAAATGAAAGCCCTAGCGCTGAAGACAACCATGGAGATTGCTATCTAGACTCTGTTCACACCTACTCGATTCACTCTTTGGTGATCGAATAGGTTCTTATCATCAGATCGATCGTTGTCGTCTGCTGGTGGAACTACCGTTTTCTTCTCCATCATCTACCGTTTTCTTCTACATCACACTTTACTGGATCTGATTTTGCTAGTGCTTTGATTTCATTATGTCTGAGACCAACAAACTAACGTATCTTTGTACGATAGTGACAGGCTTTAAACAAGGGTAAATGTATTCTCCTTGAGGAAGATGATGATCCCATCCTACTGCCGGATCAGGCTGACGAAAAACTGATCAGAGAATACAGTTGGTCTCTTATTGGCAAAATACTGAATCCGAAGAAGCAAAATGTGGAACACCTTATTGTCTCTATGCCATAACAGTTGGGAATGTCAGAGAAAATCTCTTCTTGTGACTTGGGGAATGGACGCTTTTTGTTCAACTTTGTTTCGAGGAGGATCTTAATTATGTCCTCAGCCAAGCACCATTCCACCACAACTTTTGCATGTTTGTTCTTGTGTGTTGGGAGCCTGTGATTGACGAGAACTATCCTTCGATGGTTCCATTCTAGGTTCATCTTCAAGGAATCTCTCTTCATCTATGTACGGAGCAGAACCTCCAGGCCATAGCTGATAAGCTTGGGAAAGTGGACTTGATAGACACTGCAGATGGTAAGATCAGGATTGACATAGACTCATCGAAGCCTCTAAAGTTCACTAGAAAAATGCAAACAAGAAACAAGGAGGATATAACGATCAAGTTCCATTATGAGAAGCTCTTTTAAGCATTATTCTACTTGTGTTCTTATGACACATGAAAACAAAGACTGTCCAATAAAACCAGTGGCGTATCGAGCTGTCTCTCGTGAGACGGTGTTTGATCGAGTCGCTCCACTAGTAACAGAGGAAGACACATGTATGATAATCAGGATGGCAGCTCGCAGGTCAAAGTAGAACCGTCGAAGGCTATCAGAGACGAAGCAGCCTTGTACTCTCGGATACCAAGATCTTCCCATTCAACACATACACAAAGTAATTCTAGAAACACAAGTTATAAGCCTTATGCTTCTGGACGTAACCAAGCCTCCGAGAGAAGGTATCAAGAGATTGTCAAGGACCGTGTGTGGAAAGAAAAACAAATTAAATCTCTGAGGATTAAGATGGAAGTGTTAAGAATATGGAGGCACACAAGGATTTTGGGACAACTCTTATGGCTCCTAAGCCCCGATCAGCAGCAGGGAGCTCTAGTACTTTAGAGGCGAATCTGAAGGACAAGGCAGACCAGTCTGGTATTAACGAAAACAATATTACATTCAGGCCACCTTCTGGAACTAGAACTCTCAGCTCACGATTTGTTACATCAAGTTCAGAAGATGAACTAATTCCCCCTTAATGAAGATGACCAGGCGATTGAGGACCATCAAATGGATGAGGAGATGCAAGATTCTAGCAATGGTAACAACCTGATGTTACTGGAGGAGAACGACCCATTGGGTGATGAACCTAAAGACTCGGATAATCAAGAGCATGAGAATCGAGAAGGATCAGAAACATTTCATGAGAATGTTCACGACAGTTCAATCTTATGATTGAAACTAAAGAGAAAATGGATAATGAGAATACAAAGGACTCAAACAAAAAATGCTTATGAGAATTGTAGCTCGTTCTTTTTTCTTTCAGGAATGAATTCAGCGCTGTGCATCCCGGAGAATCAACGCTAAGGGTTCAGCACAAGCGGAGGGAGGATCTCGAGTCCGAAGGGGACAGTATCTTACCACGGTTTCACGGAAGCCAAAGACTAGCTCAATCGATCAGAAAAACGTTTGACGCTATCGGAGGATAAGGAAAGACACCCGTCCTTCCCACCTTCATCAATGAAGACACCCAGTTGGAACTATCGGAGGATAAGGAAAGACCTCACAGTTTGACGCCTCACGGAGATGTGTCAGAAGCATCGTCCAGGACTCTTGTTACTTTCTTAAACAAAGAATAAGAAGCTGCTGTTGCAAAGAATTCTTGCCAACCTAGTATTTGAGAAGTTGTTTACCATTGATCTTCTTGGCCAAAACGGTGGTTTAGTTTTTTTTTTATGGATTATTTTCTAGTTGAAGTTTTATTTTCTAATAATCAGATGATTGATGTATCTGTAATCATTGATGGAATAAAAGTATATATGATATTTTTTTATGGTGACCCTGTTATAGAACGTAGAAAGCTAGTTTGGAAACGTCTTACACGTTTCTCAACAATAAAAGATGGACTTCGGTTCATGATTGACGATTTTAAAGAAATAACTGGACATGATGAGAAAGAAGGAGGGAGAATGATATCACTCAAATGTTTAACCCTAATTAGTGATTTACTCTCTCAAATAAGAGGTTCAATCGTAGTACTTAGGGATCGAATCCACAAGGAACTAGAGTCACAAAAGATATAATCCTAAGTGATTAAGCTAGGTTGAAAAGGTTTAAAAACAATAAATAAAAATAGGTAGCAATGGTAAGTTGCTAAGGAAAATATGTTTTGGGTTTGAAAACAATGAAAGAAAGTGGTCAGATTCAAGGTTACTATTCAGAAAATCAGGATTATAAATCTATGGATGTCTTAAAGAATTGCTTGCAAATATATGAGAACTTCAATCCTTAGACAAACCTATAGGTGTCGCTATTAGACTCGTCCATTGATCTGATTGCCGACAGTATCGATCGATGTTGCTATCGCAGTGTCGATCGATATATGTTGTCGTCGATCGATGAGTCTATAGGAGTATCGATCGATATAAAGCATCAGATCGAATTGAAACTGTGTTCACCCAAGAATTTCTATTAGACCGGCTGTCGCATCGTGCCTAATAGAGTCTGGGCTTAGCCAAATGATTTCAGGAAAATAACTATTCGATTAGTCACTCCATAATCATAACTCTAGGTAGCAAGTCTAGAGTAAGCATTAGGGTTCATTTGGATAATGAATATAACAACTCAACAATCCAAAGTTGGGGCTAATCCCTCATAACTATTTGAACCCCAAATCTAACAAATGAATCTACTCAGACATAGCCAAGAGATTCATAGCAAAAGAATAAGATGAAAAGAAAATACTTTATTGCTATAAAATAGAATACAAGAACTTAGATCAAAACTTTCTGAAAATATCTTGATTGCTTTCTAGGACTCATAGGCATGACTATAATTATGAGTACAATTAGGTTAAAAACTCGTCAGGGGCAATCTTGTAATTTGGTGAGAACTTGGGCTTCAAGTCGGCCAAGTAAATCTTGCTCATCACGCTTTGTATCGATTGATGGTACATGGCGTACATCGATCGATGGAGTATCTTAACTTCAACTTCTACGGAATCGTCATCGTTCGATTACACAAGGTGTGTATCGATCGATATGTGTCTTTCAATGTCAGATCTTCATAGTCATCTTGTAAAACTCTCCTTTAAGCTCCATAAGGCACCTAAATCATCACTTTACTACAAAATGCTCCTGAACCTGAAAACGTACCTAATAGACTCCAAAACATAGATAATACTTATAAAAACATATAGAAATCATGACCAAAAACGGGTCAAAATCATGGTATATCAGAGAACAAGATTAACATGATATACAATTCATATATATAATATTGATAAACAATTGAATTATTCAAAATTATAAATACTTTCATATGATATTAAGAAATTAAATTATTGGAAATTTAAAACTTTTGCAAATGAGATAAATACATGAAATGGACTAAACATCAAATGCTACACTTTTGAGAATAAATAAGGGTATTAGATTTTTGTTAAATAGAAACCCATTTTAGGATATTATTAGGTAACTACAAAAATAATGAAAGGTCCAAATCATAATTTTTTTTTAATAGATAAGATAAATTTTCGCGAACAAAGAAAAACCCATATTGGAATATCATAGTTTGTGGTAGGCTAAAATCAAAATTTAAAATTATTTTTTTTTTGTAAATAACTTTTGTATTACTTCTCAAAATGTATAATAAATAATAAAGTATATATATAACTAGCTGAATTTGGCTGATATGAATCTTTATTAATAATCACCAGTCTAATAAGGAGTTCATAAATATTTTACTAACAAAATATGAAAGTTGACTAAAAAAAAATTTATTGTATATTATGCAAACTAAAATTTATTTTCAAAAATATTTTCAATAGAGTACAAATAAAATCACCAGGGTTTAATTTTATGGTGAATTAGTGTAATGTAAGTAGAACCATGAATTTGCGTAAGATATTAGAATTACGTACTAGTCATATTTAGAATCATAGATGTAACAGTTTTTGGTAATTTTAAATACACTAGATTCTTTAACCGCGCTACGCGCAGTTGATGTACTACATGATTTTTTAAATTAAATTTATATTCGTTTATAATTCTTTATTAGTTACATTTTTTATATTTTTTACCTTTTCCGCAAAAAAAAAAAATTGGAGTATAATTGGCTGTATTTTTACTATATATATTTTTGATACTATAAATAAATGTATAATTTATATAACTAAAAAGAATTGCACGACCAAAACACTAAAGATGAAAGTGCTGATTTAAAATATTATATTATTTGATATTTTGAATTATTTTTTTCTGAAAAAATCATTAGTTACAATCATTAATTTTCCTTTTTATTAACAGAGCCGTTTATTAGAAAACTTGTTTTTCTTCTATGTATTCTAATTTGATGTTTAACTGTTAATATTGTCATTTACAATAATAAAGGGGAAAAATTGTGCATAATATTTAAAATTATACATTATTCTCATATATACTTTCATAAATTGTTTTCATTTCCAATAAAATTATTGTAGATTCTTACAATTTTCCATTTGATAGTTATTTTATCATCTAAGAGAGTAGGTTCCGTAGTTAATTTTTCTTTTTGAAAAATATTAAATAATTATCTTACGTTTTATATTACTTTGCAGTTTTTCATTTTATATAGAGAGAATTACGTATATGGTTATTTTCTCCTGAGTTTCTATCATGTTCAGGTACTTTTTAATAGAAGTGTATTTTATGCCTTATTTTATGAATTATTATTCCATAAATGCCCTTGAAACAAATCTAATCTATTAAAAGTGAAGTACAAAAAGAAAATAACTCAGAGTTTTCCTCAATAATTATATATCTATGCCATTGGAGTTAAACTCAGTCGTTTAATCTAATTTTGCTGATGATAAACTCATACCTCTTAATTCAGGAATCGTTTATGGTAACTAGTATATTCATCTACTTCACCTTGGTCACGCCGAATCTGTTGAGCATCTTCCTTCACGATATATATACAAACTTGGCTTGGGTTGAAATTGAATTAACACTCAGAAAGCAGGAAGAAGAAAAGCTACAGCCTACAGTTCATGACATTGCCAAACAAAGATGAGACGATGTGAACGATGTAAGTAATATCTTTTTTTACAAGATAAAGTTCTCACCATTGTAATTTAGTTTCATTAATGAATGATTGATTGATTGTGTGATTGATTTTTTTTTTGTTTCTAGGTGAGTTACAGAGCTAACGAGATTACAACGATTATGAATGTTTTCATGCTTAAGACTCTTAAGCTTTCGATTTTTTTTTTAATTTTGTTTGTGTTTTGCTTCTTCTGTAGAGAAAGGAATTCAACAAATTGCGATAGAGTCTGTCTTCTCTTCACCGATGCCAGATCTGAAGAAGCTGGGATGTGGAGATGGCAGAGGAAGGTAGCGGTGGTGGTTGAGGTGGAGCTGAACAACAAGAAGAGAGGCAGAGAAAAAGAGAAGACGGCATAGACTAGGTTTAGTTTTTATTTTTTGTTTTCTTAAAAATAATTGGTTTAGATTGGTTTACTTTGATGTACCAACCTTAGCTTGGTATTCAGTTTTGATATTGAATTTTAAAAAAAATTAATTAGGTAAATAATAACTGGTATATATGGTTTGTGCGATTGTGAAGACATGGAATCAATTAGTACAAAATATTATAAGTTGAGTGATTTGCACGTCTAATAAAAAAAATTCAATGAATTACCAATTCTGAATTATTAAAATTACTTATATTTGATCAATTAAGATAAAATATTTAGATTTGAATAAATTGTTTTTGAATAGAGATTGTATGTGAAAGATCAAAAATTTTTTGGCAAACGTGATGACAAAAGAAAAGATATTGGTAAGCTAAGTTATAGGTAAAGTGGCTGATTTTGGCAAAATTTTATGGACCTGATTAGGCTCTCATATATATTCAATTGAATACATTACCACGATTTCGTTTTAGAAATATAGTTAATGTCGGGTATTTTGTTAGAAAATATGATTTTTTGTTGACTTAATTAAAGTTGTATGTATATTGCTATATTTTGTATTTCCCAAACGATTCTTTGGTTTGGTTAATGATTAAACATATATACTACTACTATACACAAAACCTAATACAAATTTGACAACTGAATGTATACACAAAACCCAAAGACTTTACAAACATAATTCTATGCACTTGATTTTAGTACACTCGGGTTATTAATAGATGTCAACCTTTCTATGCAGATAAATGAAATTCTAGCCATGTTAAAAAAATGAAATTTTAGC